TTTATCTACAAAATTATTTCCAGACATAAACAACAGAGGAGAAACTGGCAGACTAACAGCTATTAGCCCTCACATCCCTAAGGTGGCTCTTTTCAAAAGGAGAGTCACCCTCCACTTTTCTGCTAGCAGAACACCAAATTAAACACTGTCCACGATTCAAAACCCAAATGCCTTAAAATATTCTCAAATAGATAAATGCCTTACAATCTATGTAAACATGGGATCAACCTTTCACACTTGCTTTTGAAAATATTGTTCGTAATCCAAAGACATTTTAAATCTTGCTCTATCGAAGAAAAAAGGAAAACAGGAAAGACTTTCCTCTGGAGTTTCACACGCCCATCAGTACTACAACTTTAAAGTAAGATCTTGTATGCAAGAGAAAAAAAGCACTTGTGATTGGTGTACTATATAACCTTTTCATCTTTTTTTTCTGACAACAATATTTTAAAAGACAATATAATCTTAAAATAGACTGAGAAGACTTTTGATTCACTGTCTACTAGTAAGTCTGTATTTAAAAAGTTCTAGCATTTTTTAAAATGGGAATTTAGAACATATCTTCAATGATTTCCCCTGGTACTAGTCATCAGCAATTTACATATATTAAAGAAATTTATTAATTGTCTGCACTTTTGGATAACTAAAAGAAAACCCACCAAAAGGTTATACTCTATGAATGTCTTCACATATATGATCTTAGAATAGAATAGTTCAGTTGGAAGGGACCTACAATGGTCATCTAGTCCAACTGCAATCTTGAAAACAGCCTTAAATATAAAAAATAAAGAAACTACCCAAGACCAACATGCTGCCAAACATGTAGCTGCTTCACCACTGAACTAGCAAAGCTTCATGGTTCAACTGGGTTTCTCCTTTGGCCAGTCCTACATGGCCTCCAGAAGTCCTCAACAGATTCAGACGAGTGTTTGCTCAGCACAGCCTGTTCCTAAAATACAGTGGCTACGGACAAGTTCCAGCGCATCCTATCTGCGACTCCTAAATATTGCTCTGACCTGGGAGGAAAGTGACTCTCAGTTTGCATACTGGTTCAAATCACAGGAATCCACTGCAATATCCAGCTTCCAATGTTATTACACAAAGTAGCACACATTAAAAAAAAAAAAAAATCAACAAGTTGGTAATCATAGTAATGCTGCTGTTCCCTTGCAAAGCAATTTACAGTGCTTTTATCACCATAAATCTCCTGTAATATTTTAAGCCTGTAACAGAAATCTGACTAATCAAAAACACTTGTTATAATCAAAAGCACTTTTGTGATGGAAAACAAAAAGCACACTCCGTCAGAAAGATACTTACTAAAAAAATATATAACTAGGTACACAGTTTTAGAATTGCACCCTGTATTTTGGAAACAGTGGCCAAACTGATATGCCATCATCTTCCCATCTGCGGAGTAACTAAATTTATTTTTCACTTGTAACTATTTTTATTTACTAATTCAGGAGGTTTCCAAAACAGCAGTCAGAACTAACTTACATATGGTTAATTCTTTATTATTGCAATTTTAATCTAAAATAAGGTTATTTTGCAGCATGCCTATTGACTCAAACACAACTGTCTGAGTTTTACAGTCTGGTTAATATACACAGTCTTTATTTCAGCATGGCTCAGCTGAAATCGCTTAGCAGCTATCTGAAAACACTTAAATACGTGCTACTGTCACAGGAACAACAAAACAACTTACAAATATCTTTGACATGGAATTAAACACCATAGAAGTTGACATAAGAGAAATAAGAGGCACAATACTTAAAATGACATCTTCATTTATAGTTTCTAGAATGAAATGTCAAATGTACTTTCTTAATTTCATTTTAAAATCAAAAAAACTAGGAAACAGCTAGCCAGCAACTGAACACATGAAAAAAGGATTACATTTACTGATTAGTATTTCAACTTAGCTTCTCCTGTAATTTTTCCTGATCACTTCAGTAATATGAAGTATATTCACCAATCATGCCTGCAAAATGAATGAGGTTAAACTACATTTCATAAATTAATCAAGTTATTTGGATATTCTTACAAATAGACATTATACTTTTGAATTGAACTATTCATGACATTTCTTAATACTTCAAGCATGCATCTTCTACAATATCATTTCTACCTAAGCAATGCATCAAGAAAACACATAAAAATAAAATACAAAATTTTGATAAACTGAAGCAACTGCATTTCCCAACAATAAATATAACTAACATCTGTTGCAGCAACTGCTTGGCACTTGCACAGTTTTGTGAAGGATTTTTGTTGTAGACAAATATTTTTCTACAATTCCTATTACGCAGCACTCAACTCAGACATTTTCTTTAATTATACTCCAAGGGGTCCTTTCATATCCATTAAAGAAAGGCAATTTGTTGCCTAAAAGAATGCATGCATACTTCTAAATTTCAACTGTGATTCATTTGTCTTCTGACACATAAAAAAGCAAGGAAATACCTACAATTAATGGACTTAGTACTGCAAAAATGTCTACTAAAACTCTCAATGCTCAACACATTATTTTTGTTAAATCCTTAGATATGCTTGCTCTTTTTGAAATAAGGAGTGGACTTATGATTCAGCATTTTACTTTCATTTCACATCTCAATAATGAGGACAACAGCACAGCAAAGCCTTTAGGAAAGCAAGAAATTTCCATTTTAACATCAGCAAAATTGACCGAATAAGGCTCCCACTTTGCATACATAGCAAGCACAGGACACCATTTTTTCAGGAACAAAGTTAATAGCTCTGACATTCTCCTTTTTTTTTTTTTTTTGTAATTTTGTTTTCCACTGTCCTTAAGTAAAGAATTTCAAAGATATACACTGAGCTCTTGTATCAATAGGTTATATACAGGGTTTTTTTTCCTGAAAATATGCATAAGCTGTGCACATTTAACAAAATTCTTGTATTCAGCATTTCGTACAGACTCAAAGTAGCAATCAAGACTTGTTTGCTATGATAATACACCAAAAGATTTTTTTTTTTAAAAGAGCATGCAGCAGAAACATATTTAAATGCTATCGTAAGCATACAAAGATCTGTTCCTCTACTGAGATATCAAGCAATCGGTAATGATGGATGAGGAGAACATGAGGGTACTGCCAATAAAAGAGAAGAAATGCTAACTCTGAATACACAAAAGATTCAGTTCAGGCCCAAAAGTACCCACATGGGCTCAACTGCAAAATGGAGAGTTACATGTATAATTTGTTGTCAAGTAAACTAACTGGCATTGTATTCACTACTCTTATGAAACCAGACGAGGAACATTTCTTAAATGATATTTATAATCAAAATCCTCAAATAACTTTAAACCAAATTTGGCCATTTTAAAAGGGAAAAAAGTAGTGAAATAAAAAAAACTTAAATCATGTGAAAAAAGCATTTCCATTGATGGAAATTGTAATCTGTATTGCTCTATGAAAAAAGTAAAAATCAAAACACCTTGGGTATATTTGGATGAATAAAATGAAACCAGTTGTGTCTCAGGACAGTGTAATTTTTTAAGTGGAAGATTTAGGAATACATGCTTTGCTTTTACATTGCACAATTAACTAGAAGAAATTAATAAACTGATACATAAAAATCCATATTACATTTTCTTTAAATATTCGTTACTTCTTCCTAGATCTGTTTTTTGATGAATAAGACCTAGAACTTGTAGATTCTATCCCTGCATCATTTCAGTTTACCTTTTTATGTAACTTGATATACTAAAATCCAAATTCCTTCTGCCCCCCCCCCCCCCCCGCCCCCCCCATTTTTGGGAGGAAAGGACCAACAATTTAATAAAACATTTTACAGTGTAGCTTACACGGTTCTCACTTATTCTCTTCCTCTCATATTAAAAACATCACTATACTCCCATCACTTTTACACTTCTCCTTCTTAACACATAATAAGCTTAACTTCTTATCCTCTATTTCTTTTGGCTAAGAAAGGAGGCATGAATAGCAATAAAGCAGTACAGAAAGTACATACAACTATAGTGTACAAATAGCAGTTATCCTACAGATCAGTAAGTTTTGCCTTTAATTGAATTGGCATTCTTCAGAAAGATCATACTTTAGACAAAGTGCATCTAAGAAAGCAATAAGTTTAAGTACAAAGCAGCAACACACTAAGGTGCTGATAAAGTTTTCACTCTGCTGCAATAAAAAACACCACTCACAGAACAAACAGGAGATTTCACATACAATCTTTAATAGGAAGAGTCCTTTAAATGACATTTATGAACAAAATGACACAACCAAATTTTAACTTCTTCCTACAATTTTAAAGGGTAAGTAGAGCTTCTCATGAAGAATTGGCCTCTTTCAGCATTTTCTCAAAGGTAAGTAAGTGACATGATAGGAATGTAGGTAAGATGAATTTTTCAGAAACTTAAGAGCAAAAGGTACACTGACTAGAATAATTATATAATTTACTATGTGATAGCTACAAATTAGACAAAGACATTACTCCTTAAAAGAAGAAAATCAGAACAAGTTAAGGACTTCAGAATGGGAACTGCAACTCTGCCCTCACACCAGTGCATAGCAGTTCAGAAAAAAAGCTTTTACGTAAGAGACAACCTATGGCTGCAATCTATTGCTTTAAGCAGTTGCAAAGAATGGAGTAATGGGGTAGTGCAAGATTAAAACTAATAGCAAGTAAAAAACCAAGCTAAATAAAAGAATCGCTGTCCCAGCAGCTTTTGATAAGAGTAGTTTAAAAAGATCTTTTCTCCCTTAAGCAAAATATGGTGAAAGCAGGAGAACTGTTTGTATCCAAGTATTACTGGTCTGTTTTCCAGAACAACTAAGCCTGTATAGAGTGCATTGGACTAAGTTCTTAGGGGCTGGGACTGTTCTTGGTCTGTGTACTTACAGTGAAGAATAACTGAGGCCAGTCCTTAACTAAGGTGTCAGGGTAATAAGTAATACTGCGTCAGTGGCGTGCATATAGTAAATACAAACAGGCAAGATGCTGCCATGTTAACATACCTCTTGTACGGAGCGAGCTGCTGGCTTGTCTTGATGATTGGCCAGTATTAAAAACGGCAAAGTACATAACTGTGGGTGCTGGAGAGCAGAATGCAGTTCATTCCTAGCAGTTTCTAGATCATCTTCAGAGGAGGCACTGTCTAATACAAATATTACCCCTTGGGATCCTTGGTAGTAACGACTCCAGTATTTCCTGATATTGTCAGCCCCTTTCAAGACAATAATAAGAACTAATTAAAACAAGAATAATTAAACAGATTTAACACTTGTATCTGAAAATAACCCTTCTACTTAGAACAATCAAAAGCAGTGGACTAAATATTCTCTCCTAAATAATCATCATTGAAAGAATAAAAAGGAAAAAAGCAACCATAAATCCAACACACACACAAACCTCAAATTAACATTGTTTAAATAAGGAAGGAATTTGACTCGATGCAGTTTTCATCCCTGAAAGTTTCTGCTCCATTAATGAGTACTGGCAGAACTACCATGCTTCCAGTGCCACATAGTCTAATCCTATACCTTCTTACTGAAATACCTTGGTACTAATATCTAAGCCTTTGCCCATTCTTTTTTACTTTGCCCTGCAGCTCCTTGACATAACCTGTAGCTTCTGTCATAGCAGTTGCTCATTTCTGAGCATGATAAGGTCTTTCAGTTCACCTCCAAACCATCAGGCAAACACTTCATTGGGGAAAAAAGGTGTCAGGAAAGCCTACTGAAGTAATTAAACACTTAATGAGGAGAATGGTGATACAACTGTGAGTTGAACAGTGAATAAGGAGCTATTGTGACAACATGCAAAGGCATTCATTTCAACTACTTTTGCTATGTCAGCCACAATAAGGATTCTGGAAGAGCCCAACAGTAGACACACGAGTGACTGTACAGGCTTATGTGCCACAGTAATTTTTAGGACACAGTTCAGCAGCACTCAGCCATCTCAACAGAAGCCAAGCAATAAGGTTATCTACAGAAAGCTGCTGTCTCCCCTGGAGAGCAGCATGTGGTGTAACATTGAGGTTGGAAAAAAAGAATTGTATCTGACAGCTGTCAAACTATCTAAACTATGATTTGGATATGGGCTATTCTTTGTATGTCTGAATCTGGCACTACACTCATGGGGACTAACACCAAAAAGTGAACAGCAGCAGCACTACTCTAGTAGAAAACTTGACATGTCTGCAAGATAGTGATTTGCAGAAATGTGCTGAAGGTGTCCTTTATAGACACTTATCTTACTTTGAGATAGGGAGAAGTGAACTTTAACGTAGACACAGATACCAAGTGCTGATAATAATAAAACTCCATTTTTTAGTGAAACAAAACTACACAAAAGTTCTGAGCAACATGTAGGCACAAAATGAGAATTTAATGCAACATAATTGCTATAACATTGATATGATACTTAAAATATTCACTTAGTTTATACATTGTGCAACAGAAAAGACAGTCACTAAACAAAGGTGAAGAAACAAATATCTAAAAAGGAATTTCCACCACATACTTTAGGTATCCAACTCCGAGTATTCAAATCTCGCACCCTGGAGTTGCTGCCTGCTCTGTACCAGCCACACTGGAACCTTAAAACACTCCGTTTCTGTACTCTGCACCTAGCACAATTTAGGTGGCTAACAAATGTTGTGAACACACACTTTTTCCTACAGAGAATACTGAGTCATACCTGAACAGTTTTTTTCTGCAAGAGAGCTAAAGAGTTGATTATTTAAAGGTAAATGGTCATGGGATTTAGTTGAGACCTTGCTTAATTCCTCTATTAATTTAACCAGACTCAAAGTAACAATGCACAAATAGGACAGGTGTTTCATTTTCTTTATCATCAACTTCTGAAGATCAACATTACTTATACAGAAGAGGGATTGCATTGAAAGCTAATTCTATGTTTCTGCACCACTGGAATATCTACAAATTGTACCTGTAAAGAATTTCATAGCATCTGTTAGATGTCCCAGTCTTTTCAAACAGCTGTCTATGTCAGAACGAAGTAAAGCAAGTTGCCAGAGGGACACTATTTACATAGCCACACACAGCAGTGTCACAGGCATCTGAAGTATCACATTACTTTAAAAACTGGTAGAGAATCATTTTCAATGAACTGAAAGGCCAACACCATGATCAGTTCTTTGAAGGTCTTTTTTTTTTCCTAGCAACATAACATCTGTCTTATTTACTCTAAGCGTCAGCCAGCTCCTTTTCAATGACATGTCGCTGCCAGACCCTGAGTCTTATCTTTGTAACAGTACTATTTCTAAAGAGAAAAATTGTGAGGTGAACTGCAGAGCATTTGACCTCTTGTATCCAGGCACATGGACGAAAGCAGCTCATGGATCCCTACATGGGACACTGGAGACAGAAAAGCAGTATGCTGATTTGTTGACCTTACGGTCCTGTCTTTTTGGTTCAGATCATTTAGAATAATGACCTTCTCTGAACTTGCTTACACTTCAATTCTGAGGAAATCACAGCCTGAGGTTTAAGAATAAAAAAATTTGCACTAAGCAGACAAGAAAAAAGACTGAGAAAGTCTGTACCTTCGGGTGCCATTTTAACTCATTTTTCTGGCAAATGCACTTGAAAAACAATTGTTGGCATCAATAAGCTATCAGCAACTGGCAATCACAATTTCTATAAGACAAATAAGCTTATATTCTTTTGCCTTAACACCTCATATCCAGGGAGCATAACCTGCTCTCAGCTTCTTTCTCCAGATCATTAGGTAGTATGTTGTGGAGTTATCCTGGGCAGACAATGCTGGCCCGTGAATAGTGACCCAGCCATCACACTTCATGGCACGACAAATTCAGTCTTATAGAGCAAGCAGTTGTTTTTAAAGTTGCAGTTTAGCACAGACTATCCTATGAATTAATCTTTTCGTCTATTCCAAAGGTTTCTAAAACAGGGAAATTCAAAATCTGAGTTCTTTGGCAATCCAGATGCAATTGTGCATCTATTAAACATCCTCAGGCTCTCAGAGGCTGCTGAGATAAAACCAGAAACTTAACTGGTACCCAAAATGTCCTATCAAACAATAGTAACACGACATAAGCATTTAGGTTTGTCAGCCTAATATCATGTGTTCTCTAACAGCTTTGCAGGCACGTGGCTGTTTCTTCAACCACTTTATGCCTAGACTAAGATTATAAAAAGCAAAAGAAAGAGAAAGAACTCAGGTAAAAGTCTCCAAAACATCAGAAAAACTTAACAGCAATTCACATTAGACCTAGGGATCTTGCTATGCAAAAGGTTCACTAAAATGTGACGCTCAGTGTAGTATTTTCCTCAGACACAGGCAAGAGCCACGCTCATGCCTAGGCATATGATTTGTTTCCCTCAGCAATGAACCCACGGGAGTGGGTTGAGTCCTGTGACGTGACTAAAACATCCCATTTACAAATAAAATGGGGGGGAGGGGGAGGGACACCACACTACAACACAATCACACCACTTATTAGAAAAGACAGTATTCCGTCAAATATAGGCTTGAATTACTTTATAAAAGGGAAAAAACCCCTCTCCTTACAGAGAAAAACCCCTCTCCTTAGAGAGAACAACAAGGTGCTGTAATTAAAAACCCCAATCATTCAGCATTACTACGGGGCAGGTTTACTGTTCAAAATTTTAGAAAGTTTTCATTTGTAATTTTTTAAATATCAAATAAATAAATTCTTTTCGTTATCAGCCAAGGGTATCATGTGTCCATATTAACACCATTTATGATTTGTATCAGTGCCAACAGGACCCTCCCAAATGTCCCTTGGAAGCTGGGGGGAAGAGTTTGGGAGTTACGTGTAGTTTAATACACATCAAAACCAGGTTGTACAATTACACACTCCTGTAAATATTACGCAAAACGCAGAACTGCAAATCTTCCTTTCAACTATGAATACTCCTGTTTACATCTTCATTCACAGCAGTTTGAGGCTACCTTCAATTCCCTCCTTCTCAGCACTCTCAGGAAAACAGAACATAGCATTACAGAAAAATCACCGAAAGCAATTTAAAGGTGTCAAATTTGTTACTTGTCAAACTTGCAGCAAGTCTCTATTGAGAGCACAATGAATGTCACACAGCCCTTGCTTCAAGATAGTCTAGCCTGTGCTAGAGACAAGCTCTTGTTCACCTCAAAATACATCACCGCTCCAGAGAAGTTATAGTCTCAAATCCAGGGAAGAACTTTTTTTCCTTCCCACCAAAAATAGTTAACCTGGGGCCATGAAAGAATGCAGGCTGCAACCAGTTTTTCGACCACTTCAAATATAACATCCACTCGCCTACCTATTTTGAAGGTTTTATAGTTGATTAAAAAATTGTATCTAATACCTACTGATATTAAACAGACTGTTTCTAATTAGCAAAAAGGTGAAAAGACACGAAGGAATATGTCAACTGCGCCACAAAATCTTTTTGCATGAAAGACTGGCTTATGGGTGGGGGCGTAAGAAGGAAGAGAAGGAATAAAGAAGTCTCTTGTCTGTTCTTGCAAAATCTTTAAATACACCCCACCCTCCCGCCTCAAGAAAACCTTATGAAAATAATTTTGAAATCAGTTTTTAAATCTATGTAGGGTTTATAACTTCACTTCCCACCATTTCCTCACAAGGAAAACTGACATGCTTCCTTAGGTAATCAGGAAGATGCCTGAAATCTTAGAAATCTTAACACATTTTAAGAGATGTGGCTGCTCCTTATGTATCTTGGGCATACCCTCTGTTTAGGTGTCCCAGTACCCCCCTTGAAGAAATACAGCATAAGGACTTTTTCTTTTTTTTTTTTAACACTAGCTATTTTTCAACTTCTTAGCACCTTTTTATTACAAATAAAGTTATAAATCTCTCTAAGATACCTGCTTTGTATGTACATGCAATTTGTCCACCCTGACAGACATATCTACGCACAGATGATATAGAAGTTTCCTGCAGGTGTAACGTCAGTCACCATTCAATTTCTATTTTGTATTGCTACTGCTTATTGCTAAGCTGCAATACAGATCCTAAACCAAAACCTTCCTCAAGGTTCAAAAGTCCCAGGACTTTTGCTTCCTAGGGTTTAAGACCAATGATCACAACCTGCCTTCTCTAGCTTTTCAGGCAGTGCACTCTTGCAATCATACACAAAGCATGGCAGCAAGAAATTGGCAGGTTTTTTTCCTGAAAGAGGAACATTTTGAGATTGCTAGATCAGCTAG